GTTGTAGTTCACCTATACCCAGAGATCACTGTGGACTCAAACAATGAGGGATCTGGACCAAACTTGACACAAATACTCAATATGCCCAAATGTGGACACTAGTAGAGTTTGTGGAAAATAGACCTTGACCTTTGGGAGTTGTAGTTGCTGGGATTTATAGTTCACTTACAATCAAAGAGCATTCTGCACCCACCCCACCAAAGATAGAATTGGGCCAAATTTCCCACACACAACCCACATAACCAACAGAAAATACTGTGTTTTCTGATAGTCTTTGGTAACCCCTCTGACATCCCCTCACAACCCCCCCAGGGGTCCTGACCCCCAGGTTGAGAAATGCTGCTCTAGGGATTCCTGGTCCCCTGGCGGCACAGCAGGGTAGACTGCTGAGCTGCTGAACTTGCTGCTCGAAAGGTGGCCAGTTCGAATCCTGGGAGTGGGGTGAGCTCCCGCTGTTAGCCCCAGCTTCTGTCAACCTAGCAGTTTGAAAACATGCAATGTGAGTAGATCAATAGGTACTGCTCCTGCAGGAAGGTAACAGCACTTCATGCGGTCATGCTGGCCCCATGACCTTGGCGGTGTCTACAGACAATGCCGGCACTTCGATTACTGCATTTTCTAAGAGTTATTTCCTTATCAGTGCTCCGGTGGTTCAGCAGGTTAAACAGCTGAGCTGCTGAACTTGCTGACCAAAAGGTCAGCAGTTTGAATCCTGGGAGCAGGGTGGCATTTGAGAGTTTTAGTTGCTGGGATTTATAAGTCACCTACAATCACAGAGCATTCTGAACCCCACCAATGATAGAATTGGGCCAAACTTCCCACACAGAACCCCCATGACCAACAGAAAATATTAGAGGGATTTGGGAGGAATTAACAGTGATTTAGGGGAGATGTAGTTCACCTACATACAGAGAGCACTGTAAACCCAAACAACGATGGATTGGACCAACTTGGCATGAATACTCAATATGCCCAAATGTGAACACAGATGGAGTTTTGGGAAAATAGACCTTGACATTTGGGAGTTGTAGTTGCTGGGATTTATAGTTCACCTACAATCAAAGAGCATTCTGAACTCCACCAACGATAGAATTTGGCCAAACTTCTCACACAGAATCCCATGATCAACAGAAAATACTGTGTGTTTCTGATGATGTTTTGCGACCCCTCTGACACCCCTAATGACCCCCCCGGGGTCCCGACCCCCAAGTTGAGAAACACTGTTCTAGTGCATTAATACTGTAAAATTGATGCAATGTGACACCACTTTAACTACCATGACTCAATGCAATGGAATATTGGATTTGTAGTTTGGGGAGGTGCACCAGTATTCTTTTAAATACCTCATAAAACTACACCTCCCAAGGTACCATAGCATCCAGCCCTGGCAGTTAAAGTGCTGTCAAGCTGCATCCATTCTACAGTGTAGGTGTGCACTCACAATAGCTGCTGCCCTGGTTCCCATAATGCAGTGGGGCGACACTCTCCAGAATATAAATATAAGGGATATAAATGGAAAAGAAGGCTTACTCATATCCCTCACAACAGGAGCGGTTCCCATAATGCAAGCGAATGCGGCGCTGAAGTTGATGTTTCTCCAAGAAAGAATCCAAAGGGCAAGACAGATTGCAAAAAAGGGTTTATGTAGTTTCTCCTAGAAACTGTCCCAAAAAAGATAGATGCAATACGACCAATGTTTTTTGCTCTGGAGAAGTAATGTGCGAGCATAAGAAGAGATAAGATAAAAGAATGCATAGTGCGGTTTGGAAATATTTCATACCTTCCAACACTTCAGAGATTAAAACTAGAGTTTATTTGGTCAAGATGGCAAAGGCTATGAGAAAGAAGACACAATCTGGGGCTTCATTGCAGCCGTTTTCTTTTGCTTGATCCTACAGAGAAGAGCGGGATTCTGTCTCACTTCTTCTTCCCTGAGGCTGCATCTACACTGGAGAATTAGTACAGTTTGACACTACTTGAATTACCATTTATTTATATATCGTGTCAGGAGCAAACCAAACAGTTGTATTGCATTTTTTAACAAACAAACAAACAAACAAACCACAAAGTTTGCAAGCTTGGTAGTTGATTAAATGTCCTTTGACCAGTATCTGGCCACTTGGAGTGCCTCTGGTGTTGCTGCAAGAAGGTCCTCCATTGTGCATGTGGCAGGGCTCAGGTTGCATTGCAGCAGGTGGTCAGTGGTTTGCTCTTCTCCACACTCGCATGTCGAGGATTCCACTTTGTAGCCCCATTTCTCAAGGTTGGCTCTGCATCTTGTGGTGCCAGAGCGCAGTCTGTTCAGTGCCTTCCAAGTACCCAGTCTTCTGTGTGCCCAGGAGGGAGTCTCTCATTTGGTATCAGCCATTGATTGAGGTTCTGGGTTTGAGCCTGCCACTTTTGGACTCTCGCTTGCTGAGGTGTACCTGCGAGTGTCTCTGTAGTTCAATGCTTCTCAACCTTCCTAATACAGTGACCCCTTCATACAGTCCCTCATGTAGTGGTGACCCCCCCCCCCCACACACACACACACACATACACCATATAATAATTTTCATTGCTACTTCATAACTGTAATGTTGCTACTGGTATGAACCATGTAAATATCTGATATGCAGGATGTATTTTCATTCACTGGACCAAATTTGGCACAAATACCTAATACGCCCAAATCTGAATACTGGTGGGGTTGTGGGGGGATTGATTTTGTCATTTGGGAGTTGTAGTTACTGGGATTTATAGATCACCTACAATCAAAGAGCTTCTGAACCCCACCAACGATGGAATTGAACCCAACTTGACAGACAGAATTCCCACGACCAACAAAAAATACTGGAAGGGACATTGACCATGAGTTTGGGAGTTGTAGTTCACCTACATCCAGAGAGCACTGTGGACTCAAACAATGATGGATCTGGACCAAACTGTCACAGATACTTAATATGCCCAAATGTGAACCCAGGTGGAGTTTGAGGAAAATAGACCTTGACATTTGGGAGTTGTAGTTGCTGGGATTTATAGTTCACCTAATATCAAAGAGCGTTCTGACCTCCACCAGCGATGGAATTGTACCAAATTTGGCACACAGAACTCCCACGACCAACAGAAAATACTGGAAGGGTTTTTGAATTCTGGGAGTTGTAGTTCACCAACACCAAAAAGGAAGAGGACAGGCAGAGAAATTTTCAGCCTTCTCTGTCAAAGTAGAAATACGTGTTTTCTGATGGTCTTTGGCGACCCCTCTTAAATCCCCCTCGCATCCCCTCCAGGGGTCCCGACCCCTAGGTTGAGAAACACTGCTGTAGATCTTAGAAAACTATTTCTTGATTTAAGTCATTGACGTGCTGGCTGATACCCAAAAAGGGGATGAGCTGGAGATGTCTCTGCCTTGGTCCTTTCACTATTGGCTGCTACTTCCTGGCGGATGTCAGGTGGTGCAATACCGGCTAAACAGTGTAATTTCTCCAGTGGTGTAGGGTCACCCCGTGAGAATGCGGCATGTTTCACTAAGAGCCACATCCACTGTTCTAGCGTGGTGAGATGTGTTCCACACTGGGCATGTGTACTCAGCAGCAGAGTAGCATAGCGCAAGGGCAGATGTCTTCACTCTGTCTGGCTGTGATCCCCAGGTCAACTTTCATATGATACTGTTTCTAGTGGCCACTTTTTGCTTGGTATTCAGGCAGTGCTTCTTGTAGGTCAGAGCATGGTCCAGAGCGACTCCCAGGTATTTGGGAGATGCAGGTGAAACGTCAGGAGAGAATGGCCATATAGCCCGAAAAACCTACAACAACCCAGTGATTCCAGCCATGAAAGTCTTCGACAATACAACCCAAAGATTGCTGGGTACCCAAACTAGTAGTCCCCGGTGGCGCAGTGAGTTAAACCCCAATGCCGGCAGGACTGAAGACCAACAGGTCGCAGGTTCGAATCTGGGGAGAGGCGGATGAGCTCCCTCTATCAGCTCCAGCTCCTCATATGGGGACATGAGAGAAGCCTCCCACAAGGATGATAAAAACATCAAATCATCCGGGCGTCCCCTGGGCAACGTCCTTGCAGACGGCCAATTCTCTCACACCAGAAGCGACTTGCAGTTTCTCAAGTCGCTCCTGTTTGTCCTGACACGACAAACAAAACAAAAAACAAAAACAAAACCCAAGCTAGTGTAAAATAAACAATAGCAAAGTTCAGGTGCAGACAGACACTGCATATAATGGAAGCTTTTCATGATATAGAAATGCAGCCAAATTTTTGCCCATGCTTGAACTACACTCTAGATTAGGAATGCCTTGTCAATGCCATATGGAGAGGCCCCAGGGGAAACTACAACTCCCCTGATACCATAGTTTTGAGCCATGGCAGTTCAAAGGGTGTCACACTGTATTTATTCTCCAGTGTAGAGACGCCCTTTCCTTGCTTTGTTTTGGTTCCTAATGCAAAGCAGCCACGTTGCGTTTTCGCCCTCCCTGGACAAGAGAGAAGGGAGAGAAGGAAAGAGAAAGATCCTCCCACCCACCCAGGCAGGCCACCTCCCCATCCGGAAACTGGAAAGACTGGGACTCTCCTCCCCACCAAAAGAAAAGTACTGGACTTCTATTCAGCCCTGCCTCCCCCTTGGCAAGGGGCTGGAAGACCCGCCCTGGGCAGCAGCTGGAGGAGGAAGAAA